TCTTGAGCCTGTAAGGGTAAAGGGCTCTCCAGGCAAAGGAGGGAATGACATCCTAGGGCGGACGAATGGCATATATAAAGGACATGTGTGAGAACATGGGGATCTTAAGATCCTAAGGGAAAAGTGTGTGACTATTGAAAAACACTGGGAGCAGAGTGGGTGGTGGGAACCTTCTGGAACGTCTCCGCAGGGTGTTCACAAGTTTGCTCCATTATTACTTGATCCTCATTCTAGCTGTGGAATCATGAAACTTTTAATGAAATTTTTATTATTTCTGGACTCCCAAGAAGAGAAGAAAAAATTCTTTGGGCTTGGAAAACAAAAGTAGAGGGACGAATGCTTTCATTTTTGGAAAAAAATTAAATGTGTATTATAGGAAATATTCATTCATTTATTTTGCCGAATAAGGCAGAATAGGGAGAAAGCAATTATATTTGTTTTTGTTTTTGTTTTTTAAAAAAAATCAACCCTAAATAGCAGTGATGTTGGTGTCTAAATAAAGGCAGGCGCGAATGACAAAGTCGGTTTGTCCTGGCACATGGGTGGGTCAGATCTTCTGCCTCCGAGCTCTGGGCTTCCCAGAAGCAGAGAGAATTGTAGATTTCAAAGACAGAATCTACAACGGAGTCCCAACGTATTAACTCTGTGATCTTGCACGTTACTTAACATTTCTAAGGCTCAGTTTCATCATCTGGAAAATAAGAATTAAAGCAATACCCCCCTGCTAGGATTATTCTGAGGCTTTAGTAAGATGGCCTCCGTGAAGCCCACAGCACAGATCCGGCAAAGCAAACGCATATAAAGGGTGGCGACTATTCTGACTCTTTTTTGTGTTGTTGTTATTATTAAATGGAACCTTTCCCAGTAAGGAAACTCATGCTATCTTGCCCTCGCCTTCTTGCTTTTCTTAGTCCTAGAATCATAGACTTGTGGGTGGTCAGAGATAATTGTATCCAAATCCACATTTTGTAAGGAAAAAGAGGTTCAGAGAGGGCCCAGGCTGGCCCCAAATCACGCAGTAAATTAATGAAACAGATAGGTCCCCTGACTCTCAGTCTACCGACTCCTTCCTCATCCTCATCTTGGTAAAAATACAGACCAATCCTATGGTGACTATAGATAACAATACTGTATTATATGTTTGAAAGTTGCTAAGATAAGAGATTTTAAAAGTTTTCAAAACAAAAAAAATATTGTAACTGTGTGAGACGATGGGTATGTTAGCTAACCTTATTGTGGTAATCATTTTGTAATATATAGGTGTAGAAAAACACTATGCTATACACCTTAAACTTATATATTGTCATCTGTCAATTATATCTCTGGGGTGCGGGGAGCGGGGCGCAGAAATACAGACCAATCCTGCCAATAGGGAAACCCCAGAAAGAAATTCTGCAGGAAGATGACTTCAGCAGGTAGGAGAGGTCTGCCTTCTAGAGTTCAAAGTACAACAGACTCCATCTACTCACGATGACAGATGCTGTCTGGGTGGCGCAGCCTTTGGCCATAGCTGTTCTATGACAGGTGCAGTCTGGGTGGAGCAGCCTTTGGCCAAAGCTGTTCAGTATGTCTAATGAAAAACGATCAACAGAGCAAGACTCATTAACAAACGGATACCAGGAGTCCCACAGGCAGATGCTCTC